GCTGTCGAGCAATTTTAATGACAAGTATTCCACTATATTTGTCAAGAAGCTGTAGCAATTCACAGATAACAAAGAAAAGAAAACCTGTGGAGGGTCATAACCGCTTACGTCCTAAATGGTTAAGACATTTATTGGATTGATAGAAACTTTTTTAAACTGGATTTGGATTGTCCTGAACTCGTAATATGTGTATATACTTGTGAAAAGATGGATTTCTTTATATATACGGATCAAGGTTAAAAGTCTCGTGGGCTGACAGGAATCTCTCCGCGCCACTATTAAGCGTCGGAAGATATAATGGCATGGCTACATCACATGGCATAACAACCTCTACAAGACCATCATGCAAGGCACTGTTGAAGGCTTTCGCAACGTAAAAGTTGGTCAGAAAACATCAAAGACTGAAAATGCCAGAACTCCTGGTGGCCACCGCCAATAGATTATCCTGGAGGAAGTAGTCTCTTTCTTCTGCCCTTAGCTTCATCCACCTCCAAAGACTGAAGCACTCAAGGTTTGGTTTGTCTGTTTGTTTGCTTGTTTTTTTGTTTGTTTGTTTTTTCGTCATATCAACCTTAATGGGTTATTTAATGGCGACAAAATTTTTATTATTGGTAATATTTTTTCAAAAAATCTATTTAGGGTAATATATTTTCCTTCAAAAATCTATTTCTGGTAATAATTTTCCATCGATGGTATTTTTTTCAAAAAATGTATGTTTATTTTTTATTTATTTTTTTGTTGTTTTTTTTTTAAATGTATTGATGGTAATAAATTTTTTAACAAATTATTCCTGGTATTAAAACATATTTTTTCACTTTCATAGTGTTTTGATCTCAGTTTGGGGGTTAACTATTTACCCATATCTGGGACCCTAATAGGTGCTAACACTCTAGCTCAGGGTGGACCTGGGAACACCAGGAATTAGGAAGTGATTCCACGCTCCTCAAAACCTCCTGATCAGAGGTCTTGCTGTAGGACGTAGTTTATCGTCATACCCAGGACGGAGCAGTCAAGGGATTGATGGTGATAATGAGTCTTGATTTTAAGAAAAGTGTTTGACAATTGATGATTGAAGCTTATAGTACTGATGCAGTATAGACAAGCACAAGAAAAATCTTCTGTGAAATGTCTATATGCTTATTTGTGCCAAATAAGAACGAACACACAATTCGAGCCATTATACATTACTATTGGATAACTAGATCTAAAACATGACCAGTGATTACCAGTAGATTGATTTTTCGATACGTGACATGTGAGAATGCGTGACCGCCATCTTGAAAACGTTTTTTCTTCTCTGTAGTCCTAGAGATTTCTGATCAAGGGGCCTCACTTGGTTGCCAGTTGGTGGACGAATTAGCTCACTTGTTATGATATCCGTCCTAACAGAAAACTTGACATGTAAATTTGAAAACTCTATATTGGGGGAAATTTAAAGTTTGATGTAGCATCAGGTACGGTAAAAAATGGCTAAAGTGATGCATAGGTATAGAAAAGACACTTTTCGGCGTAAAGAAACCAACCGTTGATCATGTTAAATAACAAGCCTATCATCATGTTAGAAATACACAATCATTCAGCATGGAAAGTTCTTCCACACTCGATGTAGTCTCCACATCTGTTACACATCAGATTATTACTGGTTTCAGTTCATAAATTCTTCCGCTCTACTAAGAGGTTCCAATAATTTTAAGATGTTCAATGTTTCATCGATCATCGTTCTTTTATAATAGAATACACAGTTGAAAGTTTAGATGAAAATAGCATAAGATCAGAGAAAATTCTTTAACATCTGAATGATGAGAGGATGAGATTGCCTTAAAACTACAATAAACATTTACACCAAATTGCTCATATATATATATGCATGCGCGCAATGATGTGTGTGTGTGTGTGAGAGAGAGAGAGAGAGAGAGAGAGAGTGTGTGTGTGTGTGTGTGTGTGTGTGTGTGTGTGTGTGTGAAAGTGTTTTTATTCCTGCTGGCCAATCCATGTTTTTTTTTGTTGTTTTTTTTCTCGTAAATCCAAATCTCTGCCATGAGAATCCTTTTCACAATATCTATTATCTTCACATCTGCTTGATTCTTGAACTTCTGCCTGACTGGAACTCGGGTTTCTCCTCTCCTCCTCATGCCAAACGACAAAGGAAGCGGAAGTGAAAGGTCATAGGGAAATACATAAAATAACATTAATATACATACAGACACCGACAATAACATTTATCGCGAATACATGGAGGCATTCGGGAGCGTTTGCTTTTAATATGGGTAAAAAAAAATTGTTTGGAGCGTGCAAGAATGTATAAGAAATTTTCAGTCAATAGAAATAATCTTTTGAAATTTACGACAAAGCAAACAAGGAATATATATATATATATATATATATATATATATATATATATATATATATATATATATATATATATATATACAGAGAGAGAGAGAGGGGAAGTGGGGGGAGAGGATCAATTATGGATCTGAATCCGACAGAATAATAAGATTAAGAACAAAAAGGAAACCTTTATCAATCTAATATGTTTCACTTTTGTTGACAAGCTTTATCAAAGAAGAAGATATGGAGAAAAAGAAGAAAGAAATTGTCGTATTTTTAATTATTTTCATTGGACTATAATGTGTCAGATGAATTCGATTATATTAGATTAGATAGATAGATAGATAGATAGATAGATAGATAGATAGATAGATATGGATATGTATAAAGAGATAGATAGATAGATAGATAGATAGATAGATAGATAGATAGATAAATATATTAGATAGATAGATAGATAGATAGATAGATAGATAGATAGATAGATAGATAGATAGATAGATAGATAGATAGATATGGATATGTATAAATATATTACATAAATAGATAGATAAATATGAATTAAATGAGATAGATAGATAGATAACAGAGAGGGTGAGGGTTGATAAATACATAATCGATCTCTCCTTCATTTTTTTTTTTTTTTTAAATGAATGATATCAAAATTCTATCAGACGGATAGATAGATAGATAGATAGATAGATAGATAGATAGATAGATAGGAACAGACTGTGATACATAGATAATGAAAAGACCGAGGTAGCTAGATAAATAGTGAACAGATAGATAGATAGATAGATAGATAGATAGATAGATAGATAGATAGATATGGATATGTATAAACATTTTACGATAGATATGAACATACGTAGATAGATATGGATATGTATAAATATATTAAGATAAATAGATAGATATGGATATGTATAAACATTTTAAGATAGATAGATATGAACATACGTAGATAGATATGGATATGTATAAATATATTAAGATAGATATATAGATAGATAGATAGATAGATAGATAGATAGATAGATAGATATGTATGAATATATTAAGATAGATAAATAGATGATAGATATGGATATTTATGAAGATACTATATAGATAGATAGATAGATAGATAGATAGATAGATAGATAGATAGATAGATATGAACTTACTGAAATTGTTAGGTATGAACAGATGTAGACAGACAGATAGGATTCTAGACTTTTAATGAGATATCCTGCATGGCCATTTCAAAAAAATAATAGGAATACAAAAACCTCCCCCCACCCCACAAATAGAATAAACACGGTTAACCTTTTTGAAATGCCCCACTGACCTTATGTAATATGAATGCTGCCCATTCACATACGTCTATAGCGGTCAGCTCTCATTAAATGGAAACGAAGAAATCGGAGAGTGAATATGATATTTCCCAAGGTCAAATGACAATTACAAAGACTAAAAGAGTAACGCGTCATTCGCCGGATGTAGCGTGAAATTATGTCTATTGTCCATTGTTTTAGGCAACAATAGGAAATAACAATGGCGGCCCTGCAAACTGATTTCTATTCAGACTTTTATTGGGATGTCTTAGGCAAACGTTTTTATCTTCTATTTTTGTAAACTTTCATGAGTTCACTTTCAGATATTGCAATCCTGAATTCACTCTCTTACATTTCGAGGATTTTTTTCCTATTTGAGCAAAGACATATTGATATCTTTCGATATTTCGATTCGTATCTCTCTCTCTCTATATATATATATATATATATATATATATATATATATGCATGCATGTATGTATGTATGTATGTTTGTGTGTGTGCGTGGCGTGTGTGAAGAAAGACATCCTTCCCCGCCCATATCACCACTTGAGATAGATAGATAGATAGATAGATAGATAGATAGATAGATAGATAGATAGATAGATAGATAGATAGATAGATAGGAACAGACTATATATATATATATATTATTAAAAAATTATAACATAAATATGTTATAAAATTACTACAAAAATAGTCATTTTCTTTCAACATTTCTGGTGCCTTATCAAGTGATGGTGTTGAATGCAGAATAAAGAGTTTTAAAAGGTTCAAATCGACCAAACACCCCTCTATAGGGGAAATGCTGTTACATAAGTTGGAATTATCAATGAAAATACAAGTAAATGAGAATTCAAAAAACTTGACAACGAACATTGGTTATAATTATTAATACTTTAAAGTTAGGGTTAAACTAAAATAGAAATCATTCTAATTAATATGAAATTTTACTATAAAACCGAAAAATAAAAATTATCGAGTTTAAATTTTAAATTTAATCTATATTAAGTTTAAAATATAAAATTATTTAAAGAAGAAACTGAGATAAAATAGATATATTTTATTATTTATTTTGTTTTAATTGAAAAGCAAAAAACTCAGAATAAACGTTAATCTAATGGGGATGTAAAGCTTCGTTACAACGATACATTTCAAGTGGTGATATGGGCGGGAAGGATGTCTTTCTTCACACACACACGCACACACACAAACATACATACATACATGCATACATGCATATATATATATATATATATATATATATATATATATATATATATATATATATATATATATATATGACAAAGTCAGAATAAGTCAGACGCCAGAATACTGCATACTATGGCGCGAATGAAACTTATTGAAATTTTATCTATCTATCTATCTATCTATCTATCTATCTATCTATCTATCTATCTATCTATCTATCTATCTATCTATCTATGTTCATATCTATCTATCTATCTTAATATATTTATACATATCCATATCTATCTATCTATCTATCTATCTATCTATCTATCTATCTATCTATCTATCTATCTATCTATCTATCTACATTTATACATATCCATATCTATCTACGTATGTTCATATCTATCTATCTATCTATCTATCTATCTATCTATCTATCTATCTATCTATCTTAAAATGTTTATACATATCCATATCTATCTATCTATCTATCTATCTATCTATCTATCTATCTATCTATCTACCTTGGTCTTTTCATTATCGATCTATGTATCACAGTCTGTTCCTATCTATCTATCACAAGTGGTGATATGGGCGGGGAAGGATGTCTTTCTTTACACACGCCACGCACACACACACACAAACATACATACATACATACATGCATATATATATATATATATATATATATATATATATATATATATATAAAGACAAAGTTAGAATAAGTCGGACGCCAGAATACTGCATACTATGGCGCGAATGAAACTTATTGAAGTTTTATCTATCTATCTATCTATCTATCTATCTATCTATCTATCTATCTATCTATCTATCTATGTTCATATCTATTTGTCTATCTATCTTAATATATTTATACATATCCATATCTATCTACGTATGTTCATATCTATCTACCTTAAAATATTTATACATATCCATATCTATCTATCTATCTATCTATCTATATATATATATATATATATATATATATATATATCCGTCTGTTCACTATCTATCTAGCTTCCTCGGTTCTTTCATTATCTATCTATGTATCACAGTCTGTTCCTATCTATCTATCTATCTATCTATCTATCTATCTATCTATCTATCTATCTATCTCTCTCTCTCTCTCTCTATATATATATATATATATATATATATATATATATATATATATATATCCGTCTGTTCACTATCTATCTAGCTACCTCGGTCTTTTCATTATCTATCTATGTATCACAGTCTGTTCCTATCTATCTATCACAAGTGGTGATATGGGCGGGGAAGGATGTCTTTCTTCACACACGCCACGCACACACACAAACATACATAAGTACATACATACATACATGCATATATATATATATATATATATATATATATATATATATATATGACAAAGTCAGAATAAGTCGCACGACAGATGACTGCATACTATGGCGCGGATGAAACCTATTGAAATTTTATCTATCTATCTATCTATCTATCTATCTATCTATCTATGTTCATATCTATCTGTCTATCTATCTTAATATATTTATGCATATCCATATCTATCTACGTATGTTCATATCTATCTATCTTAAAATGTTTATACATATCCATATCTATCTATCAATCTATCTATCTATCTATCTATCTATCTATCTATGTTCATATCTATCTATCTATCTATCTATCTTAAAATATTTATACATATTCATATCTATCTATCTATCTATCTTAATATATTTATACATATCCATATCTATCTACGTATGTTCATATCTCTCTATCTTAAAATGTTTATACATATCCATATATATATATATATATATATATATATATATATATATATATATATATATATATCCGTCTGTTCACTATTTATCTAGCTACCTCGGACTTTTCATTATTTATCTATGTATCACAGTCTGTTCCTATCTATCTATCTATCTATCTATCCGTCTGATAGAATTTTGATGTCATTCATTTACCTAATGTGTCAATCTAAGCAAAAAAAAAAAATAATGAAGGAGAGATCGATTATGTATTTATCAACCCTCGCCCTCTCTGTTATTACCTTGGGACATTTGCCACAGTGTTGATGTCGCGGGGCTTTCACAAACTCTACTTAAAATATTATAGATATGTTATTTAGATCTTAATTATTTTTTGTTGAGTGCTGTTTTTAATTTTCATGGGATAAATAAAATAGAAAAACATCAAAAGATTTTATTTTGAAAAAGCGCATTAAAAGGCCAAGATGAAAAAATATTTGTTTTTTTTTTGTATTGTAAGTGGACATAAATTCAAAATAAGGAAGTTATATTGGTTATATTCGTTAGAAACAAAGCAAAGAGGGTTGTTCTGTTATGTAATATCAGTTCTCTTATATGCCAGTGAATACGAGACAATCTCCTCGCAGATGGAGAACAGACTTCATGCAACCCAAATCTGGTGTAGAGTGAGTGGCAGTGTTTTAGTGTAAATGGCAGAGTTGTCCAACAAACCGAATTGACAAACTTTGTAATGACCAATTAAAATAACAAGAAAAAGAAAAGAACAGGGCCAAAAAAAATAATGTATATCAAGCAAACAATATATGCAAGACAAATTAACAGTAATAAGGCAAAGCAACAGTAATATGGCAAAATGTTCACAAACTAAGAATTGGCGTTAACACAAAAAATTCGGATGAACGAACGTAGCGTTCTGATATTGTTTAGTGATTAATAAATCTAGTAAGCCCCTAACTTTAAGAGGATTTTGTGTCGAGTGGCTGGAGAATTTCAAAAGATAGTCGCAGTATTACAGGGCACGTTTTCCAATTATCACCAAAGAGTTCAATGATTTCATGGAAAACGAGAAATCACCCTTGCATTGTCCTCATGCGAAGCTGAGTACATGGCGTTGGCAGTAGCAATAGAAGAAGCAAAATTCCTTATTCAATTATTAAACACTATAATTAATACAACTGAAAATGTGCAAGCAACTATCTATTGTGATAATCAATGTACCATAGCTCTTGCTAAGAACCCTGTCTACCAACAACATTCAAAGCCTATAGACACAAAGTACCACGTTACATGGACTGAGATTCGTCCATGACTTGAAAGGACACAGCACATAGAAAATGACAGGTTAGTTACAGAACTACTTAAAACAATTATTTACAATTAAGTCAATTCAAAAGGCGTGTTTCGTAATCTGATAAAAATCATTCTTTTAGTAAGAGATACATTCACCATCCCCCCTGAGCAAATAAAATCATTAAAATAATAAAACATCGGCTGAAATATGGTACAAACGACATAGATTAAGATAGTAGTTGTGAAATATATAGAATTGTGGAACTACGGACACTAGAAGAAGGCCGAAGATTATAGCTGTCGACAAAGTTCGTTTAAAGTAACAAAGATGAAGACAGCAGAAAATTCAAGAAATAACGAAAATCAATCACCCCAAAAAGGCCGAAGAAAATATCAGTTCGAACATTGTGTTTAAAGCAACAAATTTGAAAGTAATATTACCTAAATGTAAAAAAAAAAAAAAAAAAATAAGGCTAACAGTTCATCTTAGAAATGACAAGCTAAACAAGAAAGTCGGGGGCAATATCAGGCGAAATACTGGTTTAAAGAAAAAAAGAAAAGATGAGAAAACTTATCAGAAGAATCTAAGGAACAATGAAAATTCTTCATGTCAGAACTTGAGAACACCAACTGAAAGAGGTTTAAACAAACCGAAGATCTAATCTGAATGCCGGTAGGCTTCGGGTGGCGTCATAAAGATATGCATTACCGGCCAAAAACAAAATACGCTAAAAAAATAGCTTAACCTATTTCTGGGTTCAATACGAGAAACAAACATAGATTCATTTTCATCTTCGAACGGAACGTTTGATCATACATCGTGTCAAGAGGGTAACCAAAAAAAAATACTCTTGCATCATATCAGTGTTATCTCGTCTTCACCAAATCATTGCAGCATAATTCCGTGTGTTTTTTGTTTTTATTTTGTTTTCCTTGTTTAGATGAAAGAAGACAGAGTAATTGCTTGAGGAAAGGTTTGTTTTTTGTTTTATTTTGTTTTTTCCTTGTTTTTTTAGATGAAAGAATAAAATATGATTATTGGTTTGCTTAGGAGAGGGGTTTTTTTAGGATAGATTCATATGGTTTTGGTTTAGATTTTTGTTTTATTTTGTTTTACGGCATATCAACCTCAATGGGTTATTTAATGCCGACAACATTTTTAGGATAAATTCGTATGAATAAAATATGTATTCTTTGATTTAGATTGGTTTGGTTTATTTTGTTTTATGGGAATGAACCTCAATGGGTTATTTAATGCCGACAACATTTTTAGGATAGATTCATATGAATAGAACATGTATTCTTTGGTTTAGATTGGTTTGGTTTATTTTGTTTTACAACATTTTTTTTAGGATAAATTGCATGGATAGATTCATATGAATAGAATTTTGTTTTACGGCATTCTTTGGTTTAATGCCGATTTTTAGGATTTGGAATAAAATTATTTTGTTTTTTATTTTGTTTTATGGCAATCAACCTCAATGGGTTATTTAATGCCGACAACATTTTTTGGTTTATTTTGGATAAAACCTTCATAATGCCGACAACATTTTTTAGGATATTCATATGAATAAAATATGTATTCTTTGATTTAGATTGGTTTGGTTTATTTTGTTTTATGGGAATGAACCTCAATGGGTTATTTAATGCCGAATAGAACAACATTTTTGGTTTAGGATAGATTCATAGGATAAATTCGAATAAAACATGTATTCTTTGGTTTAGATTGGTTTGGTTTATTTTGTTTTATGGCATTTAATGCAACCTTTTTAATGGGTTATTTAATTTTGTTTTATGGGACAACATTTTTTTATTTTTTATTGCTGGTAATATTTTGTTTTGTCAAAAATCTGTTTCTAGCAATATTTTTCCTTCAAAATTGTATTGCTGGTAATAAGTATTTTTCAAAAACATATTGCTGGTAATAGTTAAATATTTGCCCGTAGCTGGGACCCTAACAGGTGCTACCACACTGGGTCAGGTGGAACTGGGAACACAAGCAATTAAGAGGTGATTCCACGCTCCTCAAAACCTCCTGATTAGAGGCCTTACTGCTGGATGTAGTTTATCGTCTTACCCAGGACACGGATGTAGTTTAACATCTTACCCAGAACGAGCTTGAGGAGATTATAAAGTAGGCATTTATTTATTTAATTTTTTGCGAAAGAAATGGGAATCACATTGGCCAAAATGTGACATTCAGTGAAAGAAACATACATAATTACTAATTTTGTATCAGGTTAAGTCTCAAGGAAAATCCATGAATGATTTCAGTTCTTTAATTCCTGGATTGTTCCAGTTCTTCAAAATATAGAACATCCAATACAACCATAGTGTAAATATCATATTATACTGACTGCCATTATTCAACTATATGGTAATTAATTGTCTCACATGTAGAATCACTCCGAAGCGGCACAACAACGCAACGTATCTGATCCGGTATCAATCTGTTGTTAACTGGGGGCAAGGAATGGCTTGCTAATTTTAAAGCCTCCTAAACAGAACTGCTCGTCTAAGAAAAATATATATGCCTTCCATTAGCATGTATAATGCTAATCTCTTAGTTGCGTCTTCTCGGGTTAACGTTTTCCACTGACTTGAAGCGGAACGGTTATATCGAATCGATTCCTAGATTTGCTGCTAAGAAATTTGGTTCAATGTGTAGCGCTAGACAATTTTCTCACCCAAAACTACCTTGCATATGCACAGGTCTACCATTCGCCCATGCTTAGAATATTGCTTCTACACATGGTCTGGTCCTTCTTCTATATATTTAGTGATCCTTGATAAAATCCAAAGAAAAATCTGCATTGTCATTGGCCCTGACCTGGCATCTAGGCTTCAGTCACATTTCCGCTGCCGCACTTCCCAGTGCCTTTTCTATAAATATGTTCATAGTAATTTTTCAAGTGATCTCTATGGTACGCTGACTTTATGAATTTAAACGCCTCACTAGGTGTCTAGGTCTTTCATATGGCGCGTCATTTCATCCGCATAAACCGCTTGGGGACTCACAAATCCAGTCACTGTCCTCGTTTTCCATCTACTCGTCCATCTGTTCGGCAGATTCCTTACTAGTACGACGTCCACTTGCTTATACATACACCGCTCAGACTCAGGTTCCATCAGA